TAAAGTGCTACTCTGACGAAAATCGCTGAAACTTCCTTAGAATACTCTTTAAAGGTCCAATAATCACTGTATGAAGTGTTTTCTCGATATTCAGGACGAAAGTATGATATTTTTACGATTATTTTTTGGAGTTTGTGACGTCATACATCAATGTTGTTACAAAACCGGATGGTTCAAACTGCAAATCAGACCTTCAGAATTCAGAAATCATCATTGATCATGGAGGGACAGAAATGGAAAAGATAGGGATGAGAAAAAAGTTTAGTATTAGTTGTGCAATACAGACCGAATTTGAATTCGTTCCATAAAATATGACCAGAAGTGTCATAAACTTGATTAAGAAATGCTAAGCATAAGGTATATTGGAATTAACCCCAAGTAAAGTTTGTGAAGTAATGGTAGCTAATGTGCCACTGGTACCTCATCGACCTCGAGCCCTTTCAATCCTCAGACATGCCATCATATGTAAGAAAAGTTCAAGCTGGTTCTCTCCTGTGCTTAAAATTCTTTTTTTCCAGGTTCTGCAGCTCTCTCTCTCTCTCTCTCTATATATATAGTTTAAGTGCAACTTCTTGAAGTCTTAAAGATTTTTCCATGCCATATGCTAATGCTGTGACGTATGAGGAGTAATCATTTAATATACAAAACACTGCTGGTACAGATAAATTAAATTTGGAATACGTCATTGTTTTTCCCATTGCTCTTATAGAAATTATTGCAAGTTAGTTTTCCCATAGAAGCCGGTGTTTCGAATTACGAGGAACAACAAATAACCATAAATGCCTCCTCATAGGTCACAGCATTTAAGCATATGACATGGAAAAACCTTCATAACTTCAAGAAGCCGCACTCAAACTATGCAATTTTTTCAGGTTATTCAACATCTTACCCCATGTAGAATCAATACTGAGAATATTGTCAGAAGGGTGGTAGGCACTTTAACAACTTTATTATTCAACTGTATGCTGAAGCTAGAGAGTAGGGTGGCTGCATGAAAAATAAAAATAAAAATTAAATTTTGGTTATTCTTTTATTTTTGTTTTTCTCCAGACTTCTGGCTGAATTTGTCCATGCACTTTTTCTACTTTATACTGATCTTTATTTCACATATATGGAAATCAATCCTCTAGGTAAGAAAAAAATACAGTAGTATCTAATATACACATATATATCTTTGGTGAGAACACCAACATGATTATTGGTGGGATTGGATCAATAGAGCATTTTCACGTGACATCACAGTCACCATATCGGTTTACCAAAACAATATATTTTCTATCCTCTGGGAATTTATTTCTATTTTTATGCAAATACTGTGCAGCAAGTTTTCTATTGTTTGGTACACCAATATGGCTTCCTTGTCACTTGAGTTAAAATGCTCTTAGCTATTAATAGAATATAATAAAAACATGGCAACCATGTAGGAAAAATGAACCCAACAACACAAGCTGTTACATGATTAAAAATATTTTGTTGTCAGACATTACATGTATATGTATACAGATTATTATTTTTTTACTTTCATGGGATTCTTTGTTTTTCAGTTATGGTTGGCAATAAAGTGTATGCGTTAGACTTGGCTGCAAAACTTGACCAAACTGCAGATTTTATTTGTAAGACTAAATGGGGTGAAATAGATTTTCCTCCACCATTTGGTAGAGATGCTTTTCCAGAGGTAATTTGAATGTTTGATGTAGCATCCTTCACTATATCCATCCGTCTGCCTTTTCTCCCTTCGTGAATACATCTATCCGATCCATCCACCCATTAATCCTTACATACTGTAAAGCAACTCATTCATATTGTTCATCCATCCACCCAGCCATATATAATTTTTTTTCATCCATCCATCTATTGAACTCTCCAGCCACCCACACCCATTTATCCAGCCACACAGACACCCACCCATCTTACCATTCCACTTATCCACCCATTCACCCATTCATTTATTAACTCTTATGTAGATCCATCCCATTAATCTAGTACTCACTAATCCATCAACCTGAAGTACTATACTCATCTATTCTATTCCATTCCATCCAATCCATCCATTCCCCAATCATCTTTACCCCTCGCTCATGAATATGTTATACATTTATTCATTCAAACAACAATCCTTCCATCAACAATATCATCAATCCATCTATCAACAGTAAATAGTTCCTAACTGTGCTTACTAATCAATAGGAAAAATACATAGCTGAATTGGATGCCAAGAGTGGAGCATCACTTAAACTAACCATCTTGAACAGAAAAGGAAGGATTTGGACCATGGTGGCTGGAGGTGGAGCTTCAGTCATCTACAGGTAATAATGCAGAGAATAATTTTGTATTCCTTGGGTGGCGTGTACGCTAGCTGCCAAAGTGTTGTCTTTCACTGCTGTGAGTCCAAGTGGTCAGATCGCTGGTTCGAGCCATGCAGACGCCACATGTGAATTGAGTTTGTTTGATGTGTTGTCTCTCCTGTGTTGCAAGGGTTTTTCTCTGTGTTTTTCGATTTTCCTCCTGCCGTAAAAATCAACGTCAGCTGAGCGTTGTGTGCATATAAGAGGAAATGTAGTGGTAGAGAGTGTGAGAGAAAGCAGGCCCACATCAGCGAAAGCTGCCAAAATAATCAGCTTGCTCTAACAAATAGCAAGAACAAGTTTAGACCTTATTGAATATGTCACACTTTTTTCATTGGGTAAGTAGTGATCTTGACATAAAGACGGATCAGGACTGACAGACAAATGGATGATACTCCATGTATCTCTTCATTCCTGCTTTTGCGTTTATTTTTATTAATCCATGTATAAAGTGAATTTCGATTGACTGTTTGACAACCTTTTTCAAATATAGTAGGTGTAATAAATCACAGTACAGAGACATGCATACATTCATGTTGCTTAACTAAGATCAAGGATTGACAGAATTAATCTTTTGTTTTCCTATTCTACCTTAGTGATACCATCTGTGATCTAGGTGGTGCTATGGAACTAGCCAACTATGGTGAGTACTCAGGAGCTCCATCAGAATCCCAGACCTTTGAGTATGCCAAGACATTACTGAAGCTGATGACAGAAGGAGAACCACATGTTGAAGGTATGGATTAATGGTGCTTATTATGCTGACTTTATTAATTTTGTTGTTTTTTGCAGTATGAATGTGGCTATGGGATGTGACCACCGGAGTATAATGTTTCTGAAAATTTAGATTTGTTGATGTGCATCTCAGCTTACCGATGTCTCACTCTCTGTCTCTTTCTCCTCACCTGCAGTATGAATGTGGCTATGGGATGTGACCATTGGAGGATGATGTTTCTGACAATTTAGATTTGTTGATGTACATCTCTCAATACTGATGTCTCTCTCTCTCTGTTGCTGTCTCTTTTTCTTTCTCCTTACTTTCTTTTACTCTGTGTTGGAGAGATAGAGTTGCTTTGTAGGGTGATACATATATATTGATTCTACAAAGTAATTACCTTTGTATTACTTAATAATTATTATTTATCGTGTTCTCTGCAATTGTTTTAGGGAAAATTCTTATCATTGGAGGAGGAATTGCAAATTTCACTAATGTTTCAGCAACCTTCAAGGTAAAAAGAAAGAACATTTAGTTTGCAATCATTCTCTGCTACTCATTTTTTAATAATTTCTTCAAATTGATTTATGTTCATGCAAACAGTAATATTTCAGCAGCACACAACGTACAGTGTTTGGAGAGATAAGTAAATATTATTGTTTTCCCCCAGGGAATTGTCAGAGCACTAAATAACTTTCAAAAAGCTTTGCTTGAACACAAAGTAGAAATCTTTGTGAGACGAGGAGGACCCAACTACCAAGAAGGCTTGAGAATCATGAGAGAACTTGGTAAGTTGTGGTTCTAATTTGGTAATAATTTACAACAAATTGATAAAGTATTCTTCAATAAAATCCTTTATTATACAGGATAAATTTGCATCCAACATGACGTTTAATGTTCTTCCTCGATGGCACATATAGTCTGCAGACCTCTCATTTTGCATATGTTAACAGTCATTTAGTGCTTAAGGACGTTCTTTCTCATGTAAATCAGATTAGACTAGATTCAATTGTTCCTGCCTCCTGTCATGTTTGCCATCACATGATGGTGCAAAGCCTCTATATGGGCCAATGTGGCATTCACTACCATAATGATAACATACTAAAATTCTTTCCCTAAGGTACCCAACTTGGTCTCAACATGCATGTGTTTGGTACGGAAACCCACATGACTGCAGTTGTAGGCATGGCACTTGGCAAGAGAGATATACCTCACATGGTTGGTGCATATGATTCAAATGATGCTGCTAACATGTTCTTCAATGCACAAGACAAAGGGGTAAGTCATGATATGTGGTGTGATCCCCAAGACTAGACTGACCAACCACTTACTGACTGCTTACCAACCACTTACCAACCACTTACCAACCACTTACCAACCACTTACCAACCACTTACCAACCACTTACCAACCACTTACCAACCAATTACCAACAACTTACCAACCACTTACCCACCACTTACCCACCACTTACCCACCACTTACCGACCGCTTACCGACCGCTTACCAACCACTTACCGACCACTTACCGACCACTTACCGACCACTTACCGACCACTTACTAACCACTTACCAATTCAACCACTTACCAACCGCTTACTAACCTCTAACCAACCACTTACTAACCACTTACTGACACCTTACTTTACAGTACAGATTGTTTACAATAGCCCATTTTTTATCCCCACAATCTCAGGATGAGAATTAATGTGCCTGCTAAATGGTGATAAATCCTCAATTGGTAACATTACTGTGAATATTGCTTGGTTTTAGTCCTCCCAGATAGTAAAGAAAGAAAAGACACTTAGCCTGTCAAATGTAAGCCGTCCTGTGTTGAGCAGATCTGAAACTGAAGAAGCAAAATGTCATCTGTTCCACAAAAACACTCGTGCTATCATATGGGGAATGCAACAGAGAGCTGTGCAGGTAAAGATATTATTAGGGATAATTGGGGATGTTACAGAAACAAACACATTAGCAATACTAACAACAATGAGAATGAAGGATTTCCCTTGATGGTCACTCATCTTTAACCTTAACAAATCATCTCTCCCTCCTTCCCTTTCCCCTAAATGATTATGTGTCAAAGGCTCCCAATGACCTCCTGGTTATGCCTCTATAGCAAAACATACTCATAACAGCAACAGCAGCAGCAGCAGTAATATTATTAATTTAACAAAAAACAGCAAAAACCAATTAATATTAGGAAAATAAGCAAACAAAAGCACACATATTCAGTTAATGGTAAAAGCAATAACAATGACAAAACTGTGATGACCAAGACCACTTCAAATAGGAAAAACATGACGAGGAAAAAATCTAAAACGATATACTTTTCAGTCATTTACATTTGTAACATATAAAATTTACAAACTGATTTGTGTTTGTCTAGTCAGGGTGGTATGACTTCAGTGTGAGGTTTAACTTGTATTTTCTTTATTGTCCAGGGCATGTTAGACTTTGATTATGTCTGTGAAAGAAAGTACCCTTCAGTAGCTGCAATGGTCTATCCATTCAGGTAAATTATAGCACTTTAACATCCTTTTGTCTTTGTCAATTCGGGGTCAACATCATCTACCTTTGATCCTTGGCTCTTTGGTCCTTGGCTCTTTGGTCCTTGGCTCATTGGTCCTTGGCTCATTGGTCCTTGGCTCTTTTGTCCTTGGCTCTTTGGTCCTT